TAGTACGTCTATCTGGACCTGAAATTCCGTACTTTGTTCTACCTTCACAACAGCATTTGAAAAAGTGTTGATTCTTCTTTACTTGGAGCGGAAACAGAAAAAGAAAGAAAAAGATCGGGTGAGTCGAAGATAGGGTTTTGTTGTTCTTGTCTCGCATTTCCCTATTAGTACACATGTACCTTATTAACAAAGGGGGTAAGTTTCTTAAGAAACTGTAGTGCTGCGTCGGTGGGAGAGTATAACAAGGTAATTAGTGTTATTAACTGAATACAAAACGTAAATTGGCCACCGTCAAGAGTTTCAATGCTGACGTTTCGAGCGTTAGCCCTTTGTCAGATACTTTATTAACAGCTGTGTCTATTTTTCTTTTCAGCCCACTTCTTTAAGATCATCGGATGAAATCAAATTTAAAACTATTATCCCAGCTTCTTCACTGGTTGTGCGAGACCACTGTTGGTTAAATGATGGTATGTGATGTATGTTAACTTGACATGTAATATTCTATGCTGTCCTTACCGAGGCCACAAAGTGATTTTCTAATTTCCTGGTAAAATGTTGTTTTTTTCCCTCATACTTTCCCTCGAAATCAGTTGCCAAATTTCCGATTTGTGGTTAACCCTTAAACCCCTAAGAGAGATAAGAACCTTATTCTCCCAACAGTATCTACCCTGAATCAAACATTAAGGTAACGAGAATGAAGGAAATAATCGCAAACTCAAGAAGAGTAGGAAATGTATAGAGAACAGTATGGAGAGCTTTTATTCTGATGCTAGGCCGGTTAAGCGAGTGGTGTTAATAGTAAAGAAGATTACAAATTGACGCTGAAAACAGACGTTAGGGAAAGGCAAATACCTTTTGACATAATAGAACACGATTTGTTTGGAAAATTATAATAAGGGGGGATTTTTTATAGAGGTTACGATCTGCCATACAGCACAGTATGTCCTCCAGGGAAAGGGAAGTTTCATTTATGTCATTTACATTTGATCGGTGTTTCATGTTTTCAGTCCTGTTTTGGTCATAAAATTGTGTTTCCTTTCAGGTCCGGAGCCAATACATTCGTGGGAATTGGTGAACATTAGCGATACAGCAGAGATTGGCAGACAAGAATGTGCATATGTGTTTGCAAACAAGTAATATTGATACTGGTTCATTTTCAATTGTACATTGTATTGAACTGTCCGTTGGTTGTTGCGAGGGAAAGGACTTAATCCTTGACATATTAATATCCACCTTTTCATTCACAAGATCTCAATAATAGTTCACCTTTCTTTCTGCCATAAATTACTTATAATTTAGCTTTGAGATTTTGTGTTAGATTTTGCAATACTCCGTTCTTTTATATATTTTTTTTCTTATCGTTACTTTCTGCTAGATAATGGTCTGGTATTGTAAAGAAAACTCACTTTGTTCACTCCTGTCTGGATGTGAAAAGGTCAATTGATAAAACACCTTTCGATCGACTGTCATAAAACCAAAACAAAAGTGACCACACTGGCCATTCAGAACGAATAGAACTATTAGGAGTCAATAAGAACTCAAAATAAAACAAAGAAAGTTGCTGATGAGCGCAAAAACGCGAGTATCCAAATTACGATTGAACCAAGTTGGGGGGGAGAAGGGGGGAGGAGGTAAGTTTCTAAAGAAGCTGTGATGCTGCGTCGGTGGAGCGTGTTATGTGATTTGGCCACCGTAAAGAACGGTTGGGGAGGCAGGTGTGAGTTTTGTAGACCAATTACACCGCACTAAGTACGATCAAACCAATGTAAAGTCGGATTCCTTTTGTCAGTTGATCCTTTAAAATTTTCCCACCAAAGTCGTTGTTTTTATTTGGAAGAAATATTTGAACCATAACGTATCCTCAGAGTGGTGACCTTTAAACAAGCGCCCGTTACCGTACTTTTCCTGAGACGGTGTGTGTTGAAAGGTTTCATGTGACATTTTTGCAGAACTGCAGAAGAAAAGAGAGAGATGGTTAAGTGCATCAAAGAGGCAATAAAGCGGAGCATCAAGGCTGGTTATAATTTAGCAAACGCCATTGCGCCAAGATCGCCAAGCTTCCGACGTAACAACGCAGACGACAAGCTCAATGCATCGGATCCAGGCCCCTTCTTACGTCTCACCAGTGATCAGTCGTCGCTTTTCCGCCGATCGTTCAGTCACAATCCCGAAAGTTTTCGAAATCGGAGAACATCGCTCGAGAGCGACGCGACCCATAGTTCGGATGGTTCCGGAGAAACCGAGTCCATCAGCAGTGCTACCACTCGAGATAGAAAGTACAGTTTGAAGAAAAAGAACAAAGTGGTATCTCCTTTGGGGTTAGAAGATGTTCAAATTAACTTATAAAAGTTTAAATGGATGTCGCAATTTATTGCACCAAGTTCATACTAAATATCTAGAGTTTTATTTTTCTATACTGATTTTACTGTAAAAAGGAAAGAGCATCGTTGTAAAAAATACTTCGTTATTTATGCAACTGTCGTTGTCGTTGACTTCGATTTTTTACTTTCATGTTTCAAAGTTTGACTAACTTTTTAGTGTGATTCTTTAGTTTGTGTTTTTTTAAATCTGCATGAAAAAAATTGCACTTGAGTTATTCCTAGATGACAGGTTACAGTCAGTACTTGTAGCTTTAATTACTTTATGCAGAGGGTCTATGTATTCAGGCAAGAGAGCGATGGTAAATAATGTTCTTTCTCACCCTGGGCTGCTATCACATTACACGAGAAATCCTGCGTTCTTTTTCTTGTCCCTAATAAGTTATTTATGGGCGGTCTGAAAAGGGTACATGTAAAGAAGAAATTTCTACATAATCATAACCGTGGTAATTTGAACTTTGCGTGTTAAGTCATGGTGATTGATCAGACAATTTAATTCTTAAGCAGCTCTTAAGCCTTACAATTATGTAGTCGTTGGCTGTGGAGATAAAGAATACTTACCCAAATCGTTGTAAAATACTGAATTTCCAAATGTGAAAAATTGAATACATGGTGATTGAATTCACTGTTGTATTTCTCCTATCATATCTGTGACTTGGTGAGGTATACTTACTGAAATGTTCATCACAAAAACATGCCCGCTCTTACTTTTTGTTTGTTTGTCTGTTTGTTTTTTGCCTGACCATGTATCAGCTTTAAAGGCTTGTTAGATAATCCTCCTTTATGTTTCTGCTCCGCATAGTACCAAACCAAAACGTCAGCAAGGCGCAAGGTCTTTCCAAAAGTTGCGTTTGCCGTGGAAACCTTCTAAGTAGAAGATGCAGATGTAGACGCTATTCAGTGCTTCTCTTTCTCGTTTCAAATTTCTTCTTTATGTACCACCATGCTTAAGTCCTCAGTGGCAAATCGTTTCTCATGGATCTTGTGTTTGCAAACTCTTTCGGTGTGTTCAAATTATTTTGGTAGATTTGTGGGGTGTCTGTAGGGATGATACATCAAAATCTGTAACTCAATAAATTATTTGTTCATATTTAAACTGAATCTGCTGTTGTATTTTTAACAAGATTCTCGAGAAAAATGCCGGTGGTCATGGCCGGTGTTAGCCATGCGCCCAATTGGTTGAGAGGGTGACACGAGTTTGAAGAGTTTTCGAGACCAACGAGGAGCTCTGAAAAACCGAAAGCATTCCATTCCTTGACCACTGCCGCACCTAACTAACAATTGTGCAAGGGAGAAGCTTTATGCGTGTACCTCGTCAAGGTCAATATGCTGATGACTTATTGTCTGTCCTCCCATAGATCACAAGTAAGAACCGCACAAAGCGCGTACGTAAATCAGCTAACTACATTCAATCAAAGTGAACAAATCTCGCTGTTGTTTTCATCGCTGTGCTGACCGCCTCTTATTCGATGTGCACAGAAGCTTGTGAGGCACTTTAGAAAGCTTGGGGTAGCTATGTATTAACATTTTGGTTATACGATCGATCTTGGATAGAGGAGGACCCGACTAACACTCGATGGCTTCAACTAAGGTCTAGTAACGTTCACCTTCTTCATCACGCAACGGCTTTAGCCTAAGTCACGCATAACTCTGTCGTCACGAAACACCTTTACACGATCAACCCGAGAGTCTTTCAGCTAGTAGAGCGCAGACCATTATGCCAGCCTTCCCTGCAATATTAAAAATCAATCCTTGCGTATTCATTGACAACTCAATTTCAAAAGGAACAGTCCATCTATTTGTTTGATTCATTTATTACTGTTTGATGCTTAGCTGCATGATCACAAAAAATTTAATCAAATAAAGTACCGGTAATGATCACAAACAGATCACATTCTATATACCATTGGTAAACATTTTTACCAGGTATCAGAAAGGATAACAGGCTTATTTTAAGAAAATTTTCAGAGGCACTCAAAATCTGAGATGCAAAAATATGGCAAAACGTCTTGAACCATCCAACCTAGACTATTCTTCAGTGAAAGACAACAAGGAATCCAAGAAAAATTACTTAACTTAATGAAATACTTCTGATGCCTTTCAATTAGCAGCCACTTATCAAAAAAGTCACTCAGAGTCTTGGATCATTACCATAACTATCATAACCATAATTATCAGCAGCTGCTTGATAACAATGATTAGCTACTCATTTTGGCTTGAGGTTTAAAGAAGTAAACTGAACCCATTAAGGATTTGCAAAAAAACTGCAAAAGATGCAAGTTAAATGACCCACAAGACTTTTTGTGCTTACTGTTTTTAAATAAGTTATCTCTTTTTAACTAATCAACATGATTGACTGAAGTCTCTATAAATACGGTAATAAAATTTTAAACTAATTTATTTTCTTGTTCATCACCTTCACCTTGTGCTCAAGTCAGAACTTTTCACAAATGAAAAGATGTATCTCTACCAATACGGCATTACTTGTCAGTATGTTTTCTGAACTGAAATAAAGTTAATACTACACCTTAGTTTGCATGTTTCAGGTGAAAGAGAATGGTCACTTAGATCACAATGATAAAAACAAAGAAGCTGTATAAGAAGCTATATAAGAAGCTGTATAAGAAGCTGTATAAGTACTCTTAATATATTTTAAAACATAAACCCCTCCTTTATATTCTCTACAATTTTCTTTCTGGTCTTTTTGTTTGCACAACTTCCCTTGGCAATGCTTTCAATGGGTGGAACTTGCTTCCTTCATCATTCATACCATCTTGGACATCTCCTTCATCACACAGGTGTACCACAATGCTGGGTGCATCTTCAACAGACTTGTGTAGCTGGCAAGGTTGTGAAGTGTCTAAAGTGGCTACAGCAGCCAGCAGATCATAGTTGATCACTGGGTGAGACTCAAGAGTCTGTTCCCAGCCAACTGGAGGTGATGCAGGAGGGGAAATCAGGAACTGCTTTGTTTGAGGTGGAGGTTTAAGATTAGAGTTGTTGTTAAGGGAGGACCGTCTCTGCAAAATAATACACAATATCTAAATGATCAAAACTATCTGATGAATCAACTTCACAAAAGTGTGTTAGAAAATGATTTTAATGCTGGATTAGTTTGTCATACTTCCTTTTTTTGTTATCAAGGCCATAGAAAATGAAATTCTCTAGTGAAAGAAGTCATTCATACCACTAATCCTTGCCACACCATCTTCTATCAAAAATGCTTATGTGATTATTGCAATTTAATCAGCACAGGTCTATACTTGTGAATCGATCTCCCTCCATCCCAAGGAGGAAATTGGAGAAGTAAAAATGTATTCAGAGTCTACTGTAGGGTGTTTACAAATCATAGGTTGATTCAGTCTATGAACCATATTCTTCCTAGTGGATGAACAAAAATTAAGATCTGATCCTCAAAGATGAATGAGTTGATGACATTGCTGTAAAAGAAGCCTGAATTCAAACCAATGCCTCCCAAATACCAATTGATCACTACTACCAAAGGAGCTTTGAGGTCACACATCTGCAATGTCTTCTGGAAAGATCATCTGTGGGGATCAGTATTTTATTTCCAATTGTTCATAAAATATGGTAAGGAAGGGCTGCATATCCATCACTCTTTGATGTGTAAATAGTCACCTGAACAAGGAAGATGCCAAGTTCATAGCCCAGAAAATGCTGCCCATGCAGGTATTTCTTAGCTTCTTTTGCGTACTCTTCATTGGCAAATGTAACCCTTGCTCTATGAAAAGTCTTTAAGTAGATGAAGCTTCTGTCACTTTCACTTCCATAAGGTGAGAACAACTTTTCAAACACTTCCTGCAAAGAAGAAATGCCAAGTGCTAATTCTAATAGGCACTAAATAGGACCTGTCAAATTCTGTAGAGTAATAATTACATCAAGAAAAAGTAATGAAAGACTATTTACACACAGAAAAGTGAATTTGACATTGCCTTCTAAAGAGAAACCCTGTTGAGCAAAAAATGCATAACAATACCAGATTTTACACAGGGCAAACTCCACTTTCAGCTAAGCTCAGGCATAAATCAACATAAGAAGTTGTTGTATTTGAGTTAGAAATACTGGTATATGGATGTTTCTATAACTTCAATGTAAAGAGAAAAAGATTACAGTGGCTTGCTGTTTCCTTGAAGGCACCACATGAACAAGCCATCTGAGCCCCAAACATTGAGAAAAAAATTTTTCACAGGTACATTTGCTGACAATTAACCAATTTAATGACTTGAATGATGGTATGACTGTGGGCTTAAATTTAATTAAGACAGAAATTTGCATACAGTACTCTAAATACTTGCTCATTTTCTCTGATGAAAAGTTGTTGGTGTGGTTAAACACAAAGTATATCATATAATACTCCATGTTTTTACCTCTAATAACATTCTCTTTTTCTTTTTCAGATTTTACAAGTCTACATTGACAAAGCCAACTTTCTAAAGGCATTGCGCATTAAGCCTTGAAAAATGGTTTGAATGACATAGATCTAATAAGTAAAAGGCCTTGAAAGCAGCTGTTTTCTGCCAGTAACTGGGGTGCAAATAAGAAATATTAGGAAGCCAGGATAACCTGGACCTCAAGTCATTTCATTATTAGATTACAAAGCCAAGACTGAGAACTATTTGCTTAAAATGTCCCAAGCATTCCAAAAAGTTTGTACCAACCTTAATGCAAATTCTAAAAGTGGAATCCATTCACACATCTAATTCCCCTTAAAACTGGGAAATGGCTGCTACACAAATTTCTTTGATTGTATTTCAATACTTGTACCATTTGTGATCAGAAATTATGGTACAAGGAGGTGAAAGTAGGTGGTTGAAGAAGACAGACTCACAGAGGGTTTTAGTCATCTACATAATGACTCTTAATGACAGTTCTGGAAACCCCTGTTATGATGAGGATTTGGGGTCTTTCCCAAGGTCACAACTCCAAAAAAAATTCCTCTAATCTCATGTAGATTGTTATATTCATTTGTTGCTCAGAGTTAGAGAGGCATGATGTACACCCTGCTCTGTCCCCCCTTATTTCTATGCTTGTAAGTAACCAACCTGTCCCTTTTCCTCATGCAAAGCATGACTTGCTGGAACAGAACTTAACATGAAGAATTTTCTGATCAAATTTGTTTTCTTGAAAGTGACAGTCACTAATTATCTCATGTCCGTTCATCATCATTAATATTAGTCTCAATTTTTTCTTAACTCTCCAAAATTTTTGAACTCTGGTGAACTCGAACGATGGATTTTACGTAATTCTCTTTAACAATCGAAACCCGAATCGGTTCATTAACAAACGAAATCTTTCTAGTTTTCATAAGCTTATTAATAGACAATGCAAAACATTCCCCACCTCAACTAAAAAAATCGACCAAGCTTACAATCATTTTTTGCGATCTAAATATGTTTTTTGTATGCTTTAGGATTCCCAACCAAACAGGGCTGAAAAGGCAGCTAAATTAGAGAGAAGTGAGCTTGATGACAACTATTCTCTTGAATACCACAGTTGTTTTGGTCCCAAGAACATTGTATTTCGACGAAATGGACCAGTTTTAAAACAAAACGCTAAGATAGCGAGCTCTAATAATTCACAGCTAAACACAGAGCTTACGATATCTCTCTTTTAACATACCTTTGTTTCTTGATCCTCAAAAACATCGTTTGGTAGATTAGTTACAGAAATACTCCATGTTTGTTGCTCTTCGCCGTACTCGCCGTCAGTGATGTCCATTGGACTCGATATCTCGACGCTTTCAACGTGCGGCTTCATTATGAAGAAAGGAAAATCACTTTGGGTAATGACGAAGTGTTAAGTCATACGCAGTATGAGCTAATTTACCAAGTTTTCAATGTAAAATGAAGTTGACAGGGGTTTCTACGTAATATATAGCTGCCGTTTACAGGTACGTCTAAAGAAACTATGCACGCAAGGCCTACTGGGATTGTAAAGTGTTTTATCGCGATTTTACAGGAAACGCTAAGTAAAGTAGTTAGCATTTGACGTCATGGTACAAACAAATCGTAATTAATTACTAAATTTCATGATTTGAAATCCAAAGTAAACTTGTTACGAAATAAAAAAATAACCTGATTATCGAGTAGAAGTTACCCTTCAGACGTAAACCTATATTCCATAATTTCGCAAATTTGAAGAAGCTGGTCTCTCTACTAAATAAGGAGAAAAACTTGAGTATCGAAATTTATATTCCCTCAGGCGACAGCCAATGTCATCCTTATTATGAAATATATGCACCTACCTTTTATTTTTGAATTCAAGGATTGGTTTTGCATTTTATAGCTAAATGGAAAATATTGTTGTTTTTGTTTGGGTTGTCGCAATCGTAACGAAAACTGAGACAATCTGGATGATCTACGGTATCATATAGAAACCAGGCTAAATATTTAACAACGAGAAATCCAGAGGTGTAAAAATAAGCACATTAACGACAGGGTTACAAAATCGGTAAACTACGTTCCGGTCCTCGTCAGCTTCTCAGTACCGTGAACGTCGAGGGAGCTATGCAATGTTCGTTCAAAACTTGTCGTTGATAAGACGGAGAACTTAAAATAATCGCAAAAACCAAAGGAAATAAGGACTGCTGAAGGACCAGGAATATCAATGAAATATTGCAAATAACGGACGTGAAAGCCTCAGGCTGCGTGTTCTTCATGATGATCAGAAGCGTGACGCAACTAATGAACATTAATAGCACCTATCCAAATTCGGGTCATGACAACGTGGATTTACGCAAAGATTTCTTATGATTACAGGTCACCTAGATCAGGACAAGCTTGCCAGAGGATTCCTGATTACTTCAGCTCTCATTGGAGCCGGATTTGACAACGTGAAACGAAAGATCTTATCTTTAAGTGAGTATTTTTAGCTGGATCATGTTAGGGGTTTTTGTCTCTCCTCCTCTCTAATCTCTCGCCCAGTTACACACTCCCACACGTGCCAAAAAGCATTGAAATACCAAAATGTAACATGGAGACAAAAACGCAGCAAGAGTTAACCCTGCTATCGCCTTTGGTAATAAATGAGCTTGTTCCCATACCTCAGCGCGAGAGTCTAGAAGCTTTGTACCTTTTAATCACTGATTTGATTCACGTCTCTAATTCTGGTCGGTGGGTTCAGATGAATTCAGTGCAGGCATAGTTTTGGGCATTATTTTACGGTCAGAGCTGCGGGCACACTGTCGGCATGACTAAACTTTTTTTAAAAATCCACTTGATGTTACAGTTCAACACGAGATAAATTCTGTAGCCTGAGTAATGTCAACAATTAGCCTGCTTTTATCGTTTGCCAACTAGCAATTTTGATTTAGTAAATTGTTTTTCTTAGCAATGTTTACCTTTTGGTGGTAGGAATAAGTAAGGGGCGGGGGAGATTGGGGAGAGAGCTTTTATTTTGAAGTTGTAAATTGAGGTTTCTGAAAAATTTACAGCATAATTTTCGTTATAATGCCGTTTTAAGAGGTGACGCTCAAAAGCATAATGTTAAAATTTTCGAGCATATTTAACCTGACCCTACTGGTCTGTGCTTATTGATGGCCGGGAGAATATCATTCCTTCGTTGGATTGAATCACTCGTGGATAAATATGTCTCTATTTTTTCCTCTTTATCAAAGTCGTAAGCATCAGACAACAATTAGAAATGAGCAATTAAGACATTTATTTCATTTTGCCTTGTAAATTGAAAAGATTGAAAATGTGAATTTGAATACATTACTCGTCTTGACAACGAGTTCATCGCTAAAAATAAACCTCCCTTATGGTGTACATCTCACTTTACATAGCTCTGTTAAATTCCTCGCTATAGCCTACCTTCAAGAATCAAACAAACACTCAAAAGTGAGGTAGGATTCATCTTCCTTTTCCAAGCGGCTCAAGACATTTTTAGTTAATCGAGTAGGCTGAAGCACTAAATGTGTAACAGGTTATGTTGCGTGACATGATACGAAGAAAAACCTTCCGAGTCACGTCAATATGCCACGCGAACATGGAAAATAATTGTGGACACTTTCTGGTTGACTGATAAGTTACTGTCGGTTTAACAACTGATAATTTTTATGAGTACTATTACGCCAACAGGTAGCCCTAAATAATTTTTAAAAACCTAGTCCATGCTTTATGAATTATCAAATTTACAATAAACTTATTTGTACATTAAATTCTGAGCTATTTCAAAACTATGATGATGGCCGTTGACACTTCCACTCATTACATCTATCGCGGTAAGTTCATCTACTCTTACTGACGTCAGAAACGTTCTCCTCGACTAGATTTGCCAGCCAGTGAAATATTGACCGACAAGTAAGAAATAAAAAAACTCGTATGGCTCTGCCATACAGTTACAAATATTTTACTATAAAATCTAATACCAGCATATTTACATGGTTAAAGCACTTCATATCAATTTACTAAAACACTACACTTACAACTAACACAAATAAAAAATGTATACTTCGCTATTATTACTGGTAGAGCTTAAAAAACCCTAACTCTGTACCAATACTTCTGCAAAGTAAGTAGTTGCGCAAGCTTTTACACACTTGTAGAGAGGTTGTTTAAAAAAAGGAATGAAACACCTCTGGATCTGTAAAAATACTCGCATGCAAAGTTCTGTGAAGTTACAGCCCGGTTTTAAGCGCAGGCGCGTATCGTACAATTTTTTACCAAAACGTAAAAAAAGGTCTCAAAGAAATAGTGATAAGTTTTAAGAACACTAAAAAGTGTTGTACTTCCCACGCATGCAATGTACGAAATTAAATACCATGCGAAGTTGACGAACGAGCTGATAATGCTTGCTCACTAACGTATGCAAAACTGTACAGCGGTGCATAGCATCATGAATATTACAAAGTCTAAAAGATTTACCGTAATTTGACCTTAAATCTCGGCTAGATCCAAGATTTGCGTGCTTTTTCTGAGAGATTAATTCAAATATCAATTTATTTAAGTTATCACAAAGGAACAATGACTAATTCAACTTCATTCCCAGACTCTCTGTTCGTTCCGCCCCAAAAGCGACAAGTGCGATAGTAGAGACCCTAGAAACGAAGTTGTTGAAGAGAATCATATTCCAATAGGGATAAAACACCGCTTTTACCTGGTTTTACGTAGTCCCTGTACAACTCACTTTCAGTGATACATAAAAATGCAGTAACTCGACTGAACTATCAGAATAAAAAATGGAAACTATTTGCTTAAAAACTTTGCTTACGCCTCCGTGTCTCCAAAGTTTACTTTCTCGTACACGTCGTCCTCTTGAACCACTATCTCCTCCGCTGGAGTATCGTAGGATCTTTGTTGAGTTCTTGGCGGCAAACACGGACGGCTGTCTTGCAATGCAGGAATAGTCGCGTATGTTGGATCCTCGTTGAAATTGTCTTGATCCCTTATCGGATTATCACTATAAAACGGGTTTTCAAAAGACGGTGGTACCTCGTTCTTTTTAAGCACGGCACTTTCTTCATCAGTTGCTTCTTTCTCGTCAGTTCTTTGACGTCTAAGCTTCTTTGTCTGAGATGCGTTCGATGCTCGCACTTTAGACCTTGCACCTTTCAAGTAAGCGTTTGCAACTTTTCCAAGCGCGCCATCGCCTTCTTGGTGATTATCTATGTCGTTCACAAAAGATTTTCGAACCGGTGGGGACTTAGCATAACACGGATTCGACGCCCCCATAGGGGAAATATCTTGAAGTTCCATGTAGGTGTTGTTAGTGTGCGACACTCGCGGCGGAGGGGACATCTCATAGCGGGGGTTCACTGAACCCTTAGGGGTTACATCTTTGGGATCCGCGTAGGTGTTCTTGGTGTGAGATACCCGCCTCGAAGGGGGCTTTTCATACTGGTGTTTTGAAGTTCCCCCGAGGGTAACATCCTTAGGTTCCGCGTAAGTGTGGTCTTCTTTATTCTTCTTTTTGGCCGCCGCTATCTCATCTTCTATGGGTGTATCAACCACCTTGGTGTAAATTGGATTGGATGCCTCGGCTCCGGCAGCATTGCCAGGACTACTGTAGAGAGGATTGTTTGTCACCTGAAGAAAAGCAAGGCAAGATTAAACACATAAAAATTCCAGTAGGACTTTATTGGTCTGAAATGAATGAAAAACGTGTCAGGTACTCGCCTAGCTATGACTTTTCACCGACAACTCATGGATTTCAAACGCACAGCTCTAATCCTTAATTCAACTCAACTTGGTATGATTTAGTTCAGAAGCTTATTTTTAAGTGAGAACAACAAAACGTACGGCCGATTAAGGCGAAGGAAAGTATTAAAAAAAAAAGGACTCTGACAACTTGAAAAAAAAACAAACAAATAAACAAGCTACAACTTGAGGAGCGGGAAAACGCTAATGACCAAGTCGTAATTGGTTCTCGTTTTGCAGCTGATTGGTTGAGACGGTAGCACGAGTTTTCCTGACCAATCACAGAGCGAAGTAACGCAAAATCGATGCGATCCCGGATCACTTTCCACACTCAATTGAAAATGGTTCTAAACACTATCAATTGCATCACTTGAAGACAAAATACCCGAAGACTACTTAGAAATAATCGAATAACAGATTATTACGCCATGTGTTTCAGACAGTTTCATTAATCATAAATTCATCAAAATCTAACCTGGATATCGTTACGTTTGACAACAGTAGTGGGATCCAAATTGTTCCGTACCGATCCATCGGGTTCTTTCCTTAACTTCTCAGCCCATTCCTCTCTCGATGGTCCTGACGTCAGCGCATTTCTATTGTCGCCAAAAACTGGGTCGGAGAAGTCCAAGTCTTCCGTGCCTGACTGGAAACGGACGCTGTCATGCTCGTTCTGTCAAATTAAAACGAGAATACGTCCAGAAGATGTTTGTGATTGGTTGGTTACAAATTTTAAAATTTTCTGTGAAACGAAAAAGGGAAAAAGCTTGATAGCGCAGTAATGATCTGATTCATTTTGATTCTATTAAACCTAAAAATATTAAAAATCCAAACTGACAGGGAGTAAACTAGCTGGCTATATACAAGGCGTGACCCATGACTCAAACCCTTGAGCTCAACACTGTAACCATTAAGCCACGCGACCTCATATTTCCTTGGGGGAGTGTTTCTTATCTGCTATGGGTTAAATACAGTGTAACAGACAGCTAGCCAATAACAGGTTTGCACCCATTGCGATACATCGAAAAGGCAACAAAGATATCAGATGCGACAGAGCAACAAGTACGGCGCCACTAACACTAGAAAATCTCTGCCACGGCCGGGGCTGTCAATTTTTAACGTGTAATGTAAGTCAACTGTGACTCACACATTGACACTGAAACCTGTGCCCAGTAGTTCAAAGAGTGGATAACGCTATCCAACGGATAAATCACTATCCAGAGGATAACTGATAAGAAAAAGTACTGCGCTATCCATCGGATAGCGATTTATCCAGTTGAGAGCGTTATTTAACCTTTGAACAACCGGGGCCAGATCTGATAAGGACCACATTCACGTAACAAATGAACAAAAAAGCATAAGGACGAATCTTCCAAGTAAAAGGTTAAGACCGGTTTACCTTCGCCTTCTTGTATTTTCTTCTGTAGTAGAAGACAGCACCAAAAAGGATAGCAATAAGGAGAATTATGACCACCACAGCAATACCAGCAATTCCGCCTGACCCCAAGCTACTGGCAGATACGTCCACAGAGGGGTTTCCTATATTGGTGTTAAGACCTCCTTGGCAGGGCAGCCTGGCTAGTTGGAGTACGTCACAGCTTTCCACGCACTGCCGCACACTGTTGCCAAGTATTCTGCAAGCTTCGGAGGCCGGTAGAGGGGAAAATGCGTTCCTTGCATCTAGCGCTGCGATGATCAAAAGGCTCTGTCGTTGAGTACCTAGAGATATTGTTCGAAGAATCTCCACGTAGAAATAATTTGAAAGCGCTCGTCGTTTTCTGTTGGAGACTGAAATATGACACAAGTAAGGTGACTGAGTACATTGACTCCCAGATACATTTGGCTTGAGGGAGCTATGTAACGGTATTTTGAGTAATTTAGGGGATGGAAGGTCGCATAAATCACCGTTAGGTCCGACCTAGCTCAGTCAAATAAGGTCAAGTCTTGCGTGCCCAAGCACCCATTACTCCCACAATTATCTATTACTGTTTCCATAGCTTAAAGCCACAAAGGGTATTACTTACCCCTCCCCCACCCTTACCGTAAGTAAATCCTATCAGTTTACTGCTACAAATTTTGAGTTCTAGCTGGGGAGGGTGGGGAGAGGCATTGTGTGAGTCGAGTGTTTAGTCAAAAGTCGTAACGCAGTCGGACCCGGCTGGGATTGAACTTTTGACCGTTTGATCCCAGCGGACAACAACTCACTGATTCCAGTGGTATAAAGGATGCATGACGCTTTCATACGGATAAATCGCTATCCAGCCGACAAGTGTTAACAAAATATGTTGCACTATCCACCGGAAAGATATTTATCCAGTGCATGGGGTTACTCGACCTTAGAACAACTGGGCCCAGGCCATTAAGTCTCCCGCAGCTTCTGTTCCTAAAGTTTATGTACCTTGAGTGGTAATGCAATATGCCTGTTTTCTGCATGACCAACCCAAATAACTGCACGACATTGATTTCCATAAAATCTTAAAGCTGACTCTAATGTGATCATTCTTACCTTTGTTGGCATCATTTCTGTTCGCTTCCAATATGGTTACAATCTCTTTCTCCAGTTCTATCTTTCTCGGAGAAGATATTTCCGATTCGTTCACAAGGACTGGGATCTGGTACTGTGTCCCTAAGCACCTGCCAAAAGCAAGAAAAGGGGATTCAGAAACTCATATAAAATAAGAAAACCCTTAAACATTCCTTAAAATTAATTATTCTTTAAAGATTCTTCTCTATATTTGAACCAATACAAATCATTTCATTTGGTTCAATGTCAATCAACCCGATGCTTTCTTCTTAAGAAGCAAGCTATAAATACAAAATTTGTATATTACTTACCGGATGGAAGCTGAAATATAGGTCACGCACAATGTATCTCCCGTACAATCGCCACAAAGAGATACTTGCCGCTCACATAATGTCCCTGAAAATCCCACTGCACATTGGCAAGTAAACGATGCTATTCCATCCTGACATGTACCTCCGTTCTAAAGAGAGGAAAAAGAAACAAGAAAGAGAATCTATGAAAATCATATCAAGACTTCCCTATGGTCTGTAAACGCTATGTGTCAGGAGAGGTTTATCTTACTGTAATATCGCTTAATATCGCTGTCATATCGCATAAGAATAGATGATCATTAAGGGAACGAGAATGAGATGGCAAAGATTATTTAGAATCACTAACGTTGAATTAAAAAATTTAGGTTCAATATGTCCAGATGAGCAAAAACGTAACATCACTCCTTTGAAGGATCTTCGCTTAGCCTCATGCACTGCGCGCGTGTCCAGGGACCGAATCCGCCATTTTCATTGAAACGATCACTGCTTTTTGTCTTTGCTTGTGATTCTAAATTTAGGTTTATGCTTGCAAATTTATTTTCATTCCCTTTTAACGTAATCAGTGCTGTATTTCGATTCACTTTTATACTGCTTTGAACGCATAATCGTGAGAAAAGCTTTGTTCTCTTAGTAAGATACGCAAAACAAAGGCGCGATTGACTATAGGGACATTTGGTCGAAGGTCGCTTCACTCACCTGACACTCGATCCTTTGGCATTCATCTATGTTTTTCTCACAATGGACACCTGTGTAACCGGACATGCACTGGCAGTTGTAGCCGTCAATCACGTCAAGACAGCTTCCACCGTTGTAACATAAAGGACAATCTTTGATGTTTGGGCAGACACCACTGCTGTTACAATCTAAACATAAGGAAAGAAGAAAGCCGATAGTTTCAGGATATGCGTTGAATTGCGCCTGTGTAGTTAAGCTATCTTCATTAATTGTAAATTTACTTCATCCCTCGAAATCGTGTGTCTTGCTTTTACTAGGTAATTCAAATGTATTCACAACAATCAGAGTGGTATCCCAAGACACATTTCACATATCAAACTTTACCTGTGATAAAAACTTGTAGTGATTTCCCTATGAAGTGAAGTGGTTTACTGACTTGATAACAGCTGAAGTGAACATGCACAGTTCCATTAGACTCTTTGAAGTCACTGTATTGCAATGGGACCTTGGTAATAAGGCGACTCCGATCATCGAGTCTAAACAATGCGCTCACGTTCCTCTGAAGCTGGGGAACGACCAAGTTGTTCTCAGGAGTGCCCACTTTACATTCATAATCAACATTCCTGCTGTAATCATTGCAGCAGCGTTGTTTACCACAAGAAAGTAACGGTGATGATGAATCTTCGATATGTAACTGACCCACAGTAGTGCCCAATGGTTGATTTTCATGAACAGTGTGAGGATTCAAACAAATGTCCACTGGATGAGGTCTATCATCTAAAATCGAGGTAAAAAGGAAAAAAAAAGTTGAAAATTTTTATTAAAATAGGCACAAATGGCCACCTTAAACTATCAAAAACTTTAAGTGGCTCTGAACCATATTTACAGGTTGTTCTTAGCTTTCAAGGAGATAAATAGTAATGTGGTGATAGAAATTCAGCAAATAGGGTTCATAGCGCATGCTTTCAAAATGCAGACACGCACAGCTTCAATTAAAGATCTGTTTAGGAGGCTTTAGTTTGCTAAGGTAGCTTTTCGTGTCAAAATAATGAAAACTTGTTGAGAAATAATTGCACATTGTTTAAATACCAATTCCAAGGAAAGAAAGTTAAAGTGTGGAAACAAGGATCCATCAAAGAATATCTGATTTCAATCGACAAATCCATTTTGAGCCTCTTTAATTGAATTTCTGAAAATCTTGATAAGCAAAAGTCCAGCTGGTTGCACACAAAAAACTGTTTCCCAAAAATATATATTCATAATCTCACCTATAATTCTCACATAGAAGGATTTCCTGACTGGCGCAGACATGTTGCCTTTACTGATGATTGCAATTGGAATCAAAGCTTCCTCTGCGCTTGACACGTAAAAATCTAGACCATCCTTCTTAGCGACCACTAGCCTGTCTCCGATTATACTAAAAGGTAATTGTGCCTCATCTACGAGTTCATACACAAATGTTTCCCCTGGATTCTTGGTCATTGTTGTCAAGGTGCCAACCAAGGAACCACTGATGGCTGTGATGGACACTTCACTAGGTTGAAGTAAAATTTCATCTGTCGGCTGATACTCTGAGAAAAATACGAATAAAAAGTATACAACAACGAGTAAAAGGTATGCAACGTAAACAATAAAAAATTTTATCTTTGATAATAACCCTTTAACCCCTAAGAGAGTCTGGCTTCTAGTTTCTCCTTACAGTTCTTCCCTTGTGTCAAATGAAAAAGTTATGGGAATGAAGGAAATGATTACCAATTTGAGAAGCTTCCGATTATCAAACAAATTCTCCTTGTCAGTGCCATGGAAAGTATAAAAGGAGCAGTGCGGAGAATACGTTTTAAAACGCTTGGGTGCAAAGGGTTGACAAGCACGATCTGGAAAACTTGACAAAATGCTGAGGGATAATCATTCACGATAATTTATTTGCATCATACCTGAAATAACAATGGTACAATTCAAGACAGCAGATAAAGGAGCGGTCTTGATGTACTTGTATCCCATGGGGGAGAAACTTGAAATAATGATGCCATCATCCTTTACTTCTACGCCTATTGTGAAATTTTGGGCTTGTGATATCTCCTGAAAAATTAAGACAATCGTCAAGGAAAAAGAAGAAATGAGAGGACACATGGGAAGGCGTTAACAACTACCACAAATGGCGGATGTCAACTCTAGTGAGAGACCTTGAAATGTACATGATCCACCGAAAATAAGCACGAGTAAACGTGTACATGTAGTCGGCATAGGTAATCACATGATTTCGAGTGCAATTTGGAATAAATAAGCACAAGTAAACTTTTTCAAAGACTAACAAAATTGCTCGAGCCCGTAGAGTTATTCAGTCTGGTTTGTTACTTCTTTGCACTGAGTTAACCCTCTTCTGCAGTGAATCACTTGAAAATTGCATTTTTCTTAACCAATCAGAATTGAGTACTATTTTCATTTATCTTGTTATTAAGGAAAAAGGTGAGGTCCTTTTCGAACCAAGTGGCCCATCCAGCCGGAGCTTATTAAAGAGATAAACTGGTGTGTCCACATCAAGGGAGGAGGAATGCCGTAAAATCGTAATAACAGGATATCATTTGTACATCATACTCACGGCACTCTTGAAAAGACTATCAGTTTTTATTCCAAACGGCCAAGAATTTTGTTGAGGACTCAAGGAGTATGTCAGTTGTTGTTTATTCCTGATGATTACACTCTGGTTTGAAGGGTCATTTTGGATGGCAATTTCGTTATCAGGATCATCTCCCTGTAGCATTGCAATCACAGCACCAATTGATGTCTTCATACTAATGATTATGGGTGCACTGCACAGTCCTGTTGGGGCCTCATTCACATCTGAAGAGAAATCATACCAAAAAAGAAAAATTTTTAACTGACTGCTGACAGGATTTCAGAATAAATAACTTCATGAGGGGTGTTTATGCAGAGAAGAAGAAGGATTAAATCCAAATATATGCATAGACCCAAAAATTTAGAGTGAATATATCGAAGATCACCGGGATTAAAAAATAGAATTGTTTTTGTGAGTATACATGAAGTGTTTTCGACAGTTTATAAAGGAAACCACACAAAGTCAACCTCTTTGATAGATAGATCTATGAGGCTCGTTGGTAAACTTGGCCTGTGCCGTGCTCTCGGACGGTGGAAACAAGTGAAAATAGCATGCGCGAAAACCGTTTCCCTGACAACCACGACTGCTGTTCGTCGTTCCCACACTCTCTGACTCGCCTGCATGGGCTGAAGGACTGGAAGAGAGTACGGTAACCTTCACTGGAATAACAGGTCAAATTTGTTTCCCGTTATTTTCACCGAAAGGCAGTCCCACAACTGAAAAACCATTTTCTCAAGAACTTGAAAGAGAAAATAGAGGCCAGTGGAAAAAAGGTCGTCCATTATAGAAAACCTGATCAATTGGTTTTCTTACTTTGAGGAACTTTACCAACAAACCTCGACCTTAGTTTCCTGCCTTACGTCCAAACATGTTAAGAGTTGATCGGCTAGCTTACCTTTGACAAAAATAGTAAACAACTGCGTCCTAAATAGACTGTCGGCCACAATGTCACTGCAGTTAATCCAAATATCCAAACTGTGGTGAGCTTCGAAATTCAGCCCACTTAGTGTTTTGAGGTTTAATGAAGCATCCACAGTGAAAAACTTGCTTGTCCTCCCAGAATCAAAATTTCCATTCACGACACGGTCGTGCACTGTACAACGATGCCGCTGACCAATGTCTGGGTCATCTACTGTAACTCTACCAACCAATGTATCGGGTTCATTCTCATATACAGAGGTGGCGCTCAAAGTGAAATCTGATGGGGCCTCATTCACATCTAGTATTAAAATACAAGTGAAAAATATTAGCAAAGAAGGAAGCTACTCTACCACGACAACCATACAATGTAATGACGGAGAAATTCTGTCTTGGTCACTCGTGGGAGTTAAGTGTTAACGGTGCGGGAATAAAGGCGGACGATGAAAAGGTGCTGCATAATAATCTACTATGCTAAATGGATTTTGATGAGAATATGGCTAACCTAAACTTGTGACAAAATCTATGCTTTGAGCTTCCAACAGCTCGATCAACTCAAGTGGATAAAACCAAATATACTAAAGAGAAAAAAAGTAAGTTATACCATAATGACCAAGCCTGTGCACTCACCCATAACTTTAATAGTAAACGTTTTCGCTATGAACATTCCATGACCATCAGAACAATTCAATTTAATACTGAAGTCTTTAGTGGATGACAGTTGAGCTGATTCGTAATCTGTCATAGTAGGTCCTGCAACCAGATTTGTGCCCACAACTCTGACACGCCCACCAGCGTCATCCAATAGTCTACAGGTAGGAAAGTCACCATCTTGGTCTGTCAGTATTATGGAACTAATGAGCACTCTTTCGGCGCTGTTCTCTTTCATTGATGGAGTTTCAAGAGAAAGGTTGCTGGGTGGATCATTGACATCTGTTGATGTGAGCACAAAGTGATTGGAAAGTGTTTGATTCAAAATGATGAGGTCGTAAGAAGCAAGGGTTAACAAAATCATCATAGTCAAATGTCAAAAGTAATCCATGAATATAAATATATTCAAAATATTTTAGCTTTGGACACTTCCTTCCCTGAGTAGTTTCACAAACCTTAGAGGCAAAATTTATGTTTGTTTTGGCTTGGGCTTGTGCAGGCCCTTTGGCTTGAAAGGAGGAGGGGTTGGGGGGGTGGGGAGAAAAGAGAAAGAGATGGAGAGCAGAGACAGACTTAAGGTTTCCCAGGAAAAGCTTGCTTACCCATCTTTCGTCAGCCATCTTTTACAATAAAACGTGTGACACTCTCGGTTGAAAATCGAACATTCCCTAAAAAAGAACTTACCATTAATGGTTATCTTGAAGGTTTTCTCTACAAAAAGTCCTCCACCATCTGTAGCCCTTATAATGACCAAGACAATGGGATTCGTTTCATGATCCAAAGGACCATTTACGAGGAGCACTCTGTTCTTATCTCCTCCAATAGCAAATGGTACACCAACAGGTCCCATGATGGTGTAGGTGTGGACACCTCCAGGTTGGTCTGGATCCTCTGAGGAAAGGCTACCCACTGGAGTACCCAAGGGAGAGTTTTCATCCACATTTGTACTAGACAATGTCAGGTTAACAGGAGCCTCATTGACATCTGAAGAATATCACATGCATGATACATGGTTGGCTATACATTTGGATGAGTGTTAAGTGGTAGATAGGTGGGTAAACTGCCGAATGGGCTCATAAAAACAGAGAAGATGGAACTGAAGGAAGGAAATGAAAGAGAGGAGGAGAAGAAGAGAGTTTGATGGTAGGGAAGGGAGGGATGGGAAGTAGGAGGGATGGAAAGGTGAAATCACATAACCAAGCAAAAACAGAATCAAGAAGGCAGAAGAAAATCGGGAGGTGGGGAAAGAGGAAGGAAGAGAAGCAGGATGGAGGGTGGGAAGGAGAGACATAAAGAGGGGCAGAGGGGCTAATAAGTGAATAAGCACATAAGAAAGCAAATGACTGACTGTACAAAAAATGGCATAAACAAAGATACAAATCAAAGAACAAAAATAGATGCAAAACTATGAAAGAGAGACAGGTTGGGATGAAGAAGGAAATGAATGGAGAGAACACAGAAAGAAAAGAAGGTAAGTGGAACAACCATTCACCACTCACCTTTCACTGATAAAACAAAGCTAGCTGACAGTGACTTGGGTGGATGCCCAGTATCAGTACATATCACAGTAAATGAAAGAGTTTTCATGTTCTCATAATCAATCTGTTGGGCTCCCTTCACTTTCAACACAAGTTGCGTGCTAATAATGAAATAACTTTCATCCATGGGCTGGCTGACGCTAAATAAACATTTGTGATACTGATGTGATGGTGACTTGGCATTGTCTGGGTCAGTGACCTAAGGAAAAGCAAATAAACAATCATTATAAATCAATATTTAAGACTGATCTGCATCAAGAATTGAAATCTTGGCTTCTATGCAGATAGAAAGGTTGTGACTGTATACTGCTATTTAAGTCTTGATCAGGCTTACTGGTTATGTGAAACCTTTACAGCACAATGCTTCCATGTAATTGGTCAGTATTCAACAGCCGTGCTTGTTACACGCACCTTCTCTATACTTAACCTATGGCATTTCATGATCTATTCAAAAATGACTGCAAAGTAAAATTCACTTTACTACTACATAAACAAAATTGTTCTAAAGGTACTTGACAAATGCAACTAAGCTGTGAGCACCAAGAAGTTAAGGACATCATAAGACTGAGAACTGATTATGATTATGCTCTACATGTAAAATGGGGTATGAAAAAGGGCAATGCCCATGATCCATGGAATTGACTTCTGCAAAATGTCATATCATCTCCAAAGCAAGATAAAACCTTACAATCAAGTCATCATTATACTTTGTTTGCAGATATAGATCCTCTGTTTGATGTTCCACAGTTGTTAAAGTGCAAAATATGACAGCCAATTATAAAAAAAAAAACAACAACAACAACAGCAAAGGAAGACATACCACAAACTGTCCAATGACTGTCCCAGCGACAGAATTTTCCAACACAGTGTGTGACCCTGTCAGATTGATAGCTGTTGGAGCCTCATTATCATCAATAATTTCAATGTTGAAAGTCTTGAACACCTGTGTTTGAGAATCATTAGCTTTGACGCTCAGCTTGTACCATGATTTCTCCTCATAATTCAAAGGAGCTTTTACTGTGACATTCACTTTGCACTCTTTCTCTGTTCCTTGCCCATTATATGCACACTGGACATTAGCTATGTCAAATTTATTCAATGTCATTACATCTGATTGGCTGACGTCAAAGGAGATGTCATCACCATCCTTGTCAATCGCAACAAGTTGACCCACAGTTGTGTTTACAGGAGCTGTTTCATGCACAGTGGAACTTGTCAGCATTAAAGCTTGTGGGACATCATTGACATTTATCACATTTATAATGAAATCTTCTGTGGTTTGTTCTATTGGGTTTCCAAAGTCTGAACATCTAACAGTTATCTTGTTCAATCCTGGTAACAAATTCTGGGCAACTATAATCTTATTCACAGTCATACCAAATTTTCCGCTTGCATCGTTAATTAACTCCCACTTAAAGTTTGAATGGAGATGAGTGTTTGGTGGGTCATCTCCATCTACTGCTGTCAGCTCTCCTATCACTTTTCCTATAGTTGCATTCTCAAAGACAACAGAATTTGACAGTGTGACTTGCTTGGGAGGATCATTCACATTCTGTATTGTGATCTGAAAAGTCTTCTCCAGCCACATGGGAGGCATTCCATCATCTGTCACTCTTATTTTTACTGCTAAATAATGGCCTTGGCTTAAAGACACATTCCCATTTAAAACTGGATTGTCCCATATGTTTATCAATTTATCTCCTTGAGCCACAAGAAGCTCATTGGGTTGTTGAACTGTATACATAAAAGTCTGTCCTGGCTGTGCATCATGGGAACTTAAAGTTCCAATAATGGTGTTTATAGGTGCATGTTCTAAAAGAACAGTCCCATTTAGCAGTAAGTCTCTAGGAGGATCATTTGTACGTCTGCAATAGTAATCGCTAATATCACTATCCAGTACATCCCAGACATTTGAGGTCTGCCCTTTTTGCGTTTTCTGGCAAGTTAGAGTGGAAGTCACTGAAGAGAAGTCAACTTTAGAATAATCTTCACCAAATTTTTTGTTTGGCTGTGTAAAAATCTTTGCAAGTGCATAGTTCTGAGAACAGGTTAAAGAACATTGTTCATTATAAGTTGTTCCTTGCAAACAGTCAATGTTAACTTGGTGACAAACTGAAGAGATGTGGTCACTGTAAGAATCTTGTGGGCATGAATTGAAAAGTGAGGCAGGGCTGTTACAATCAAAGGCATGACATGTTTTGTGATCACTGGTAAGATAATATCCAGAAGGGCACTTGCATTTATACCAGCCAGCATGGTTTGTACAGATGTGACTGCATGGACCCTTGCCACTATTTGGTGCACACTCATCAATGTCATGACATTTGCTACCTATCAACATTTAAAAGAAAAAAAAATGTAAAAACTAATAACATAGGTATGTTTAAGGAATCAACAACAAATTTTTGTCATTTACTTCTTTGTGCTTAGCCCTTCACACCCTGACATGAGTATGCATATTCTCCATACTGTTCTCTGCATCTGGTACTTTGTGTTTGCTACATTTTCTGTAAGGTACTGACAATAAGAATTTACTTAATGATCAAGGACTTCTTTCAATGGGGATCACATCCTCTTAACAACACCTTAATTTGTTAACTGTGAAGTCTACTTCAGCAGACAATACAAGCCTTACTAATTCTCACTATAATGCATTAAGTCCACTTAATGCACAAGTGCATGAAGACACAATTTAAATAAGCTGGGGAAAAACAAAGGCAAAAATTTGAGTCTGTACCTGATTTTGTGTAGCCGGATTGACAAGAGCAGAACCCATTGTTACAATAATGATCACATCCTCCATTGATTATACCACATGATCTTTGTTCAGACAAATGATCATAACATGTGCCTCCCCAGCTAGGAGCAGTTGTGACGGTACGTGTCCTTGTTTGCGTTCCAATGTGGCACTGCTCTGAACAGGTGCTCCATGAGCTCCATCCTGTTAAAAAAATTAATTTTATTTCATTCGTCTTCAATTTCAACCACTTGTATTGATGTTTTAATCATTTCTTTCTTAGAAAATGCCTAACAAAATGAGAATTGTCTCATGACAAAACATTTGCTAGGGAATCAAGAGAGAAGATTCTGCTACATTTTCTAAGTGTTTGCAAGAAAGTTCATCACTGACAACCTGAGTAGCACAAAGCAACTTTTGCAGATAATAAGCCCTTTGCCCCGGACATGTAACTTTAGTTTGCAATTTCCCCATAGTGTTCTCTGTACATTTCGTATGTTACTTCTAAGGAGAATTTGTCTAACAATCAAGAGTGGGGTGGTATTGTTGGGAGAAATTAGGAGCTTGCCACTCTTAGGGGCTAAAGGACTCATGATAGAAGATGCTGGTCCATCACAGGAGCACTGTAAGCCACATACCATTTTAATTAACATGCTTTTAGAAAAGTTTTTCACAAGCATTAATTAAATCATATAACCCTTGTAGAGACAATCTCTGAGAGAGTGAGGTGTATGACTGAATTTCATTGTTTGACAGCTGACAAAATGCAGCTCTTGATAAGTCTCTAAAATTGAAAAAATGACTGCTTCTTCGGGCCTGTCCACTGTACTACTTGTAATATGTTCCATATTCTACATCACTTCCAGATACAATGAGCATTACAAATATTACCACAATTGAATCAGGGTATATTTACAGTAATACTAAAATGCAATACATCAAAGTGTATGAGGAAGATGCAAAGGTTCACTAGTGCTGCTAATCAAACAGAAAATTTGAAAGTAGAAATCTTAACTTATTTCTTTAAAAATTCCACAAATTGAAATTCATGACGAATTAAAACTTTAAAACAATAGCATGAGGAAAACACTTTCTTTACTTTCCTTGCTTTATGATCATGCTTCATTCTTCTTTGCCATAAATTTGATTGTCAAGTTACATTAGAGTGCTACCAAATAAAAGGACTTGGGCTAAAGATGGTGAGGAGGCTCATGAGAAAGCAAAGGGCTTTTTAAAAAGATGGGCTCCCTCAAGCAAATATTATAATCACAGATTATTAAGATTGAATGATGAAAAACCACTAGCAGAGCAGAATTGAGAAGCGCTAAAAATTTCATTTTAACTTTCTTATTTGTTTAAAGCATAATATGCCTACAAAATTAATAACATTAAAAAAAACTTTTGGCTGCATTAAAATTACAACATCTGACACATACAGAGGCTCTAAAAATACTACTATTTAAATTCTGATCTGTTCAATTTTTTTCCTCTGAAAATATTTGTAAAAGATTTGAATGAAACCAAACTTACAAAAATTATATTTTTCTTCTGAACATGTACACCCATGAGCATATTTGTAGAAATAATTGGTTCTTCAAATTTTTACTCAACATGGGAAAAGAGTTTAAGCTGCTAACTGCATAGAATATATAACTTGATGCCTATTAGGCCATGATCTAATTAGCAAATCATTCCATTGAAACAAAACAAGGTTCTTTTAAATTCTTACACTTCATTGCTTTCATTGTCCACAAAAACAAAGGAGTTTCCTGTATGCCTCTTGTTCAACATTTGTAATAGCTTGCTGCTATGAATGAAACAAAAGCTACAACTTGGACATCTTTATAGATTTGTAAAAATTTGCAGACCAGTCAAAGGGTAAATAATTGCATTAAACCAAGGTCTGTAAATTGTAAGAAAATTGACAACTTCTGAGTTGTTATTCAACATAAAACAACCCCTCCAAAAATAACACACAATGAATGTGACACAATGATTAATATATAAATTAGTGTTATTTATCTACCTTTTAAAATGGATGATTCATTTTTTTAGCTATTCTTCAAAGAAGATTGACTATCATTATAACTCATTTCTTTTTAAGTGTGGTATGTTTGCAATGATGCTGTAATGAGAAAATGCAATATTTTGCGCCCACAAACACCCACACACGATGACGTGTGCAACATTACATAACTGCTTATTGCTTAATGTAAACAAAACATCAAATTTACTTTATTTCCTTATGCATTCAAGATAATTTACTTTTACATTTTTCTTTTATACATTTATGGCATGTTAATGAGAGTGAGCAAAAATTTATATTTCAGTAATCCATTTGAAGTTGTACAAAACGATATTGACCTGTTTTGACAGCCTCATCAAAACAAGCTATATTGTTTCAAACCACAATGAAGATCTTAGTTCTGTACAGACGTCATACATATATTTACTAGGGAAAGAACAAAGAATATTAAAGATTAAATCCTGAGAGCTATAAAAATATTGCAAATTTAAGGAAAATTCTTTGTCATTTAAAAGGAAACAGAAATATATACTCTTAAAAATGAAATCCAAATACTGGTAAGAGCACTAAAAAAGTTCTTGTTAATTACTTCATTTGCTATTATTAGCTAATGAAAACAAAAACACTCCAAAGAGTTTGTGTTGTCATGCAAGCTTTATTGTCAGGTATCTAATTTTCAACTTGCTATGTGGAGGCTAAAATTATTGTAATCAACGTGTGTCTTGTTGCTTTTCTTGCATTTCAGAGAGTAATTATATATTAATCAAAAAACAAAAACAACAGTGTAATTACCAAAACTAAATGAGCATTCTGCATTGTCACTTTCAAGTGACGGGTCATTCAGTATACAAATATACAACTATGGCTTTTGCTCCGTGTCCACCGTAGCAAAGGTTGACACCTCAACAGGGTACAGGGAAGTAAAGCTCTAGCTTTTGTGACAAATTGCAACAAATTTAAAACCACAAGTTACAATTTTCCCTCAAATGAGAGAGAAGTAACGGCTCATTACCTGCACAAGAATGTTAAATTTATTTTAGTAACCAGAAAGGTCTCGTCAATTCTTTACCAATTCTCTTCACATCAATTGATGCCACCAATATCTCTCAAGGGTCTCCACATTTAATAGTTTCATCAGTGAAAAAGAGTTAGGTACTGCTTTCCTTGACTCAAACCAGTTTACAATCACCTCAACATTGATGAACATTTTCAGTTCTGACTACATCAAGTAATTAAGCCTCCTTTGCTGGACTGTTACAGGAAACCAATGCAGCTGAGTGTTTGACACATAATACTGAAGAAATGTAAAATGGTTTCCATCTTTACATAGCCTGATGTAAACATGCGGGAGGTTGGGAGAACACGAGATAAGCGTAGGAAACCACAACGCGAAGCAGAGTGGTTTCCAGCCTATCGAGCGGTGTTCTCCCAACTTCCCGCGTGTTTACATCAGGCTATGTAAACACGGAAACCATTTTACATTTCTTTTACAAAATAACTAATGAAAGAGGAACGAAAACCGTGTTTACTCATGTAAAATGGTTTTATGGCCAATCAGAGCGTGCATACTATTTGAATTATTTTATAAAATATAATAGTTCCTTCTTTACGGAGAATTTTACTTTTTTTACGTAAATAAAAGGTTAAAAGCTATTAAATTCTGACTATCCTAGTCTTCATTCTTCTGCTCTTTCCATTTCGAAGCACCGCGGATTTACTCCCTCAAAACCTTCCCAAACCAACCAGTTTTTCCAACTGTAAATATTTTTAAAAAGCATTTGACAAACCTCATTAAACTAAGCGGCTAACTGATGATAAATAACATGACATAACGACCAGCGCCGTCAAATAGAACGAAATTGGACCTTAAGAGAATAACTAAATGTTCCGCTTAGCCAGAGAGGAAGATCCCCGAAAAAAACCTTCCGTGACAAATGATATGCCGACAGGAAGAAGAATTGCAATCATCCGTACGGTTACGTTGATTTTAGTCCAAAAACTTATACAAGGAAGAATCTGCTGTTGCAAGCCGTTACAAGTCGCGCCATCTTCCTAAAGCTTTAACAAGAAATGTACTCAGAGAATCCCAAAATTTTGTTTGAACTTTTCAAACTCGTCTAACCTCACGTTGCATCGATTGGGAAAAATTTAAACTTAAAAGAGTTGTAAAGCAAAACATTCTGATAGAGTTTAAAACAAGTTTTAAAAACTATTAAACTCTTAAGTTAAGTGGTTTATGATCGTTTTGTCGATAGAAGTAGCCTGAACGGTTTAATGCGGTCGTTAGATAAAGGAATTATTTCTCAAAGAACATGGATCAAACCACTGATAATATGATGGTGGGCATATATTAAGCACGTATGTTTTCTTTCGTTTTACTTACCGGAGACAACGCAGTTTTGAGGCGGGGGTGGTGTCCATCGCCTCCTCCGTCTTCTTCTCCATGCCTCGCCTTCCGTGATTAACACCAAAATCATCAGGGGAATGATAAATCGTCGCTGCATCTTGCTGATGTTTCGCGATGGGACGACTTGGTTGCGAGAAAACCGATCTCTCCAACGCGTGCCGCGGAAATTTTTGGCAGTTGTCGGGTTCTAAAAGGTTCGCAGCTGGATCAATCTTGACTTAAATTGTCAAGTTTCAGTGTACATAATACCTCAACAACCAAACGTAATTTCTGGATAATTGATTCTCGTCGAGACCTGTACTCATTAGTAAACTACGCAGTTTAATCATGAACTCAGTAAGGAGGTTAATTAGCAATAATTTAATTTGACGTCATAGTACGTATTTAAATTCGTTCGCATACTATTGTGACGAAAATGATACGTCTAGGGGTGAGATATGTATAGAATCGAGACAAAAATAACATTTTTCCGGGTTTAAAAATATAAGAAAGAGAGAACATTTCGATTGAAATCTTCACATTATAGTAAATTAATCATAAATAAAACTAACTTTAGTAAAAATGGCGATTTACTGATAATCTTTTGATCAAACAATGTATGTTACCCACTGTATACCCCCAAGTACAAACATAGAGAGCGCACGTCATGTTGAGAGCGCATTACATCGCTCGCGCGGGAAACTTCCTAGCGCATGTTCACTAGCCGCGTCAGTTACATACGGTCGCTTGTCGACTTGTAGATACTTTAGGATGTTATAACTTCGCTTTGAGACTGAAATCGGTCGTACTATGACTTCTTCTTACGTTTTTGTTGAGGGAAAAGACAGCGACAAAGAGAAGGAAGATTCGGATTTAGAAAGTGGAAGCGACGATGAAGGCTTCGAAGACGCTGATCAAGATTTTGATTTCGTTCTCAAGCCATCGCGTAAACTTCGCAATGGTGTGAAGAAAATGCAAGAAATGGAATTTAGAAACGATCGATTTCGTCTTAAGCAGGACATAATCCGAGTGCGTGGTAAATTTGATGAGCGTTTTTCTCATCCTTGGTGGAGAGTGGAATTCAAATTGGACGCGTTGAAATCTTCGACGAGCTTTAAGCACGCTACTTCACTGCCTTCGTATAGTATTCGAACGGATGACGATGTGAATAAAAGCTTGCTGTCGCAGTTCCTCACCACAGGTTGTGAAGTGAATGATCAACACGTCACGATATTGCTGGAGTTTCTTGAGAGGAAAAATTTGAAACCCACATTTGAGGATCTGGTTACAAACTTGGAGAAATTTGCTGAAACCGACAAAGAGGGTCACGACATTGCTGAGCAGATTACAGCAGCGCTGGACCGTAAGCGTAAGTTTAAGTATGTTCTATGCTAATTGTGTTTATATATTTATCCCTTTCACTCCCAAGTTCTCATTAATAGTTCTCCTTACTGTCTGCCATACAAATAATGTTAGTTTGGGGAGTTTGGTAGTGGACCACATTGTGATATTTTTCCTCATTCTTATCACTTGTCTGCTTTATATTTTTGATGTATTGTAAGAGAAATTCTGTCTGGTCACTCATGGAAGTGACATGGTTAAACAAGAGAGACCTAGTATAATTTGCACTATGAAATATATAATTTCACAAAGTGTTTATTACCCACACTGTCTTTTTCTATATTATTCTGTTCACTAGTGTTTAGACTTCTGATATATTGGTCTGGACTGGATGGGTTCAGAGGCTCCATTTGGCTTTAAAACAAAGTATTCAACCATATCATTCAATAACTGCTCAATTTTGACCAGCAAATGTACATTTTTAGAAACCAGCCATGGACCTGTAGGGACAGAAGCATTTCAATATTTCAGCTTAATAATCCACCATCCACTATAATTTTTATTGTGCCAATGTTTCATGGTTCAACTGTTACATGTTATTTTTTTTTTTTCACTTTTTCATCGTAACAGCAACTGGTAAAGCCTTCACTGTTCCTTTGTTTACCAAGTATGCTCATCGGCTGTTTCCTCGTCGTGTTTGTTCAATCTTTGAGGAATCTTCTAAGGAAGAGCTGGAAGAGCTTAATGAGGCCTTAAATAAAGAACCCTGGGTTTTTGGTTATTGGAGTGTTCTCAAACAAAGATTTAATCTCTCAAGCTGTGAGGTAAAGCTGGAATCATTTGAAGACTGCAATCTACTTGACCAAATGCCAATTGCCAAGCAAGATGCATTGCACATATATAATGCCCTTTCACGATTGCTTCGTAAGTATGGCCATACTTATGTAGAATTCAAGATGCTGACAAAGGAGCTAAATGGAGTCAGAAACTGGAAAAAAAGTCTTGACTATTTGAGAGAAATTGATGTTGTAGGGACTTCTGAAGACCATCTGGGTGACAATCGGCATGTCTTTTTGACACATATTCGTCGTTATGAAGAAGGAATTGCAAGAAATGTTGTTGCAGTCATGGATGAAAAACCTTGGACAAGTAATGTGGAGATTGATGAGAAAGTAGGTTCTGATTGTGCAACATATCTTCTAAAAGTACTGTAAAATTCTGAAAATAAGCCCCTCTGTGTATAAGCCCCTCCATATAGAAGCCCCCCAAACCTGAAATGCAAAAATACCTCCTATAATATGCCCCTCCAAATATAAGCCCCTGAGGGCTTGTAAAGCAATGTGGTCAACAAGTGTTGAAGTTTATTGTCTTTTATGCAGTTCGCTCTTCACTCACGCTTTGAATTCCTTTGGTCCATAAACAAAGTATTTGCAAAGAAGTTCAATCCCACCACCCTGAACCCAAATTCCTTCTGGTGCTCCTCACTTTTCACCTATTATCTTTGTGGTGATAGAATGTAATGTTCCATCTTTGAGCATGGGAAAATCTGTGGCAGAGGTTCCTGGATGAAACTGAGCCTGAACTACATTATCATTTTTACTGTATTTCTGTTCTGATAAAGTTTATTGCTGTTGTGTTTGAACTTGGCATTTTCAGTGTGATTAATTTGTTGCGAATTTCTAGCCAAAACCCTAATATTACCAGTTGCACATTCAAAAATTTTGACACAAATTTCCCTTCAATTATTAGCTCAGCCAATTTTGGAACGCAATTTTCCCTCCTATAATGAGCCCTTCCGAATATAAGCCCCTTCCAAAAATAAGCCCCTCAAAAAGGCCCTTTGAAAAATATAAGTCCCAGGGCTTATTTTTGGAATTTTACTGTAGTTTTAACACCTTTCCACACATCAAGTGGCCCATAAGTCTTTCCCTCTGCACAATATAACAGGTTTGTTGAGTAGAAAGGTGTTGAGAAAAAAGATAAAATTATCTACCTAGGGATGTGGTTTGATTTTAACTCCAAATTATCAAAAGAGAACGATACAAGAAATGCTTTAAAGACAGCAAGGAAAATTAATTTTGAGAACCTGACAGGGAGAGGGTCAAGTTACAGTACATGTACATGTAACCAAAAGAACTATGCAACTCAAAAATGTATGTATGATGTATGATGATTGTGTAGTTGGGGGTAGGGGACATGCAAGTAAATTTTGTAGAGGGGTGTCAACCCCCCCACCCCCTTCCCATCCAAATTCCTGAGCATATCTATATAATCATCTATGTAATCACTTTCCACTATTGACCATGAAGGTACATGATTCATATAGTATAGTTAAAGTTATATCTCTCGTGCACAGTTCACAATTACATCCCAGAAATGTCTAATGTATTGAAATGGTGCAGAGAAGATTAGAGAAGCACTGAGATTTAACCATATTGTACTGTTTCCTATACTTTATTTATTACAGGTATTTAATGGTGATAGAGACCAAATTCGTGCAGCCCAACTCATATCAACAAAGCCAGTTGCTGTGCTCTCAGGTAGGGGTGGCTGTGGTAAGACATTTGTTGTGTCAGAAATCTTGAAAAAGGCACTAGAGGAAAAAATGGAAAATTTCCTCCAAGAGAACCCTGTAAATTCACTTGAAACAAATATGGACACCTCTGAAGGGCAAGATAAGCATGCAATCATTCGGGATTACCCTGATGATTATGAAATCACTGAAACTGATCCAGGCAGTAAAGAAGATGAAACTTCATCTCATAATGTTGACAAGAAACTTAAAGAGGTAAATGAAGAAGTTTTGCTAACTGCACCAACTGGTAAGGCTGCCTCCATCCTAGGGAAAAGAATTGGGATTCCTGCACACACACTGCACTCAGTCATCTTCACATTTCTCCACTGGAAGAATCAGGTTGGAAATGTCAATGATTGGAAATTCAGCAAAGTTCATCTTCTAGTGTGTGATGAATGTAGTCTGGTGTCAGTGAGGGTGTTCTACAAGCTGATCAGCATTTTGCGTCAGTATGCCCATCTTAAACAAGTGATTCTCTTGGGGGATGTAAACCAACTTCCATCCATTGAGCCTGGGAATTTTCTGGGTGATATCTTCCACACATTGGAGAAAAATGGCTTCTGCATCACTCTGCAAACCAACCACCGATCAGATTCAGAGCTTATTGTTCAAAATGCTGGAAAAATATCAATGCAGCAGATGCCATTTTTTGATTCAGAAAGAGGTTTCTTCTCAGTTGAATACAATTGTAATGACGACGGTGAGAGTATCACTGTAACTGAAATTATTAAAGACATACTGAAAAATGAGGCAAACCCTTTTATCCTGCCCAAACCTGAAGACTCTCAATTTGTTACATTGCGACGAAAAGACTGTGACAACATTAATGAACTATGTGCTCTCCATTACAACAAACACTGCATCAAAGACCACCATGGCAAACTAAAATTTGAAATTGGAGACAAAGTTTGTGTAAGGCATAACATGCTGTGTCTTGATCAGTATGAAAACGAAATTGTCAAGATTTGTAATGGAGAGATATTCTTCATTAGAGATATCATTCAGGAACAAGACGAAAGGAGCAAAAAGAAAATTTTTTACTGTCTAGACGATGGTGAAAAGATAATAAAGGTTGATTTCAAGACACTGAAATCAGCCAAACTGAGTCATGCTTGGGCAAGAACTATTCACACATTTCAGGTAGGAGCTCTTTCTAGCAAACTGGAAAATTAAAATCAAATAACTCAAATTTAAAGAAGTTATCTTTAAATTAGCAACCACCTAACAACAACCTGTGTTAAAGAATGGAGGAATGTAACAATAGCTGCAGTGGAGCATTTTACCCCTTCACTCTCAGTAAAGAAATGATTTATGCACAGGTTTTTGTGGAAAACATAGACCTCATATCTGATTCTGTTGCCAGGTTTGGTGGTACATCAACTTTCAATTTAGTTTAGAAAGTAATTCAGAATTGTTTTCATTTTGTGTTACCTTACTCTGTGATTGGTCTGGAAGACTTTCGCCAGAATATCAACCAATCAGATGCAAAACAAACACCAATTTTAGCGACATTGCTCAGCCTCTTCTTCTGATGTTTACCTCTTTTCCAGGTGTTGACTACGGTTACTCCAGTTCTTGCATAAAAAGAAATCCAACCCTTCTCTTGTGATGACCATAGGGGGAGAGTAGATTTGCTTGTTTAACATGCCCAATTAAATTCTCACATGTAAATGTAAAGGATTGAAAATTATACAGGTTTAGAGAGGTTAACCATTAACTCCCAAGATCTGATTCTTTATTCTCCCCTCTTACTGCTACACATTTCCTTGTAAATAAGTTGCGAGAATTTGGTGTTAGATCAAGATAACAACTACCTGATACATTTGAGTATTCTCATTACCTGTTTACTGGATAGTGCATGGATATTGTCAGGAGAGGTTACTTGTTAATCACCTCTGGGAGTTAAAGGGTTAAAGAGTCAATGTTTTGGGATCAATGTCGGTATCTAAGCAACTGTGTACCTGCCCCTCCCCTGACTCAACAGCAGTCATCTAATAACAAGTTAGGGCAGTAGCCCTTTACAAGTAAGGGCTCCTGGCTTGGGTTTATGTTGGGTTGGGGGAGGGGTAGATGCCTGGTTGCTCTGATACTGACATTGATCCATGTTTTGTATGGATTCTGTCTTGAGACTCAGTCTAATGCTGTGCCACATTTTTCTTAGGGCTCAGAGTGTGACACAATTGTCTATGTGGTGGGAAATCCGTTTTACCAGAACTGGCAGCATGTGTACACGGCGATCACCCGTGGCGTGCGGCAAGTTGTATTGGTTTACAAGCACATTTCCTTGTCACGTGCTGTTACGTCACTTCCTGTACCGCGTAAGACTAAATTGAAAGAAGACATGGTGAAAGCTCTGAGAAACCGAAATCAGCTTAATAAGCTTGATGGGGTGAAGACCAACGCCCAAATTGCCCCAGATCATGGAGATGGTGTCGAGAATGCGGTTTCTCTCCTGCCCTCTGATGACATGAAAGAGGCCACTGTAAGGTCAGTACTAGAGGCTCACTGCGAAGATCAACAAAGGGTATTAGGGGAATGTTCTTCAGGAACATCATCCTCCTTCAGCGCTGCAAGATGTTCAGAGGATTTTTGTATCTCGAACAAAAATCTGAATATCAAAAATCACCAGAAGGAGCAAGACACGAGCTATGTCCTTGCTCCAAATAGAGATCTATCCTCTCACGAATTGGCCGAAGACCACCGTCAAGAAATGGCTGTGGTTGCTGCAGAGGCCAGAGACTCCCAACAGATCTCTGGTGGTTCCCCTCTGAAGGTAAAGTGTGGCTTGGAAGCCATTTTTGAAAGTCCGGGCGGCAAAAGGAAACATCCAGAAAACGTCAAACAGGACGGCCAGGATATCTTGGACTCAAAGATCTATCAGAGCCCGACGCAAAAAAGAAAGTACCCTGAAGGCATCACTCCTTTATCTCCTCCGCAAACGCCACCTTACCTTGGAAAATTTCCATCGTCTCTTTCATCATTTAGCCCCTTGAGCCAGACCTCAAGAGAAATCAAGCAAGCCGCTGATAAAAAGCCAGCTACCACAGGAACTACTGCAAAATTCAACACCAAGTGCAAGGTCTGCGGAGGTCCAATTCATGCTGGCAAAGACCAAATAACTCATCTCTTCGATGGCTCCAAAAAATCTTGGATTCACGTTAGGTGTTCAACCAGTGATGCGCAGTAAGCACCGACAAAAACGTCGAAAAGAAGATGATATCGAGGCTTTTGAGCGATTTAAAAATGGTAAATGAAATCTGTGCCGTTGGCAATTGAAGTAGTTCTTAGAAGTTGCAGTTATCAACTTTCTTTTGTTTTAAAAATGAGACATGAGTAAGTGCAATATATAGATTTAGCCAAGCCTAAAAAGCGGAGCTCGCTTTTTTTTCCCCCCACACGTCTTAAGGGCACAACGCCTTGTCCCGGCCAGGACTGGAACCCGGGTCGTCCGACTCGGAGCTCAGTGCACTGACCACTAGACTACTGGACAAAGCTGTGGCGTTGGTGTGCCCGCGGTACAGTTGACCACGCATGTTAAAAGTAGCATCTCTTTCTTAAGTCCAAATTTTTTCGGCTTGATAGGTTAGTACTATTTTGTATAATTATGGGGCTACGCTCTGCGAGCTCCGCTATAATTTTTGGAAAAATTTACGTTAGGTTCTACTGTTGGAGTGTGTTAAGGGTAATTGTTGTTGCTTCTAGAAATCTCCAGACTGCTGAGTCATGCTGACTTGCATACCGTAGAACTTTCCAGAACATTTCATTAAGTCATTTGTTATGTAATAATACTAAAACAGTTCTTATGTAAGCTTCTGGAATGTTCGAAAACACTTTGTGAATTTATATAAAGACTCACTTATGTGGAAGTGGGAGAAGTTTTTGTTGTCGGTGCGACGAGAGAGAGTTACTGTGGAAGATTGCTTATTTCAAGGAACTTTGGAGTCTGCAGTCAGATTGTGTCAGTGGTGAGCTAGGATATAGACTGAGCTGTGCTTAAGTAAGTTTATTAACGATAAGTATTATACTGCTTTTAGAAGTCGCTCCTTGTTAAGAACATTACTCGCTGTTTAATAAAGAAGGTAATTTAGTGTTAACAACTGAGTTGAAAACGTCAATTGGCCACCGTCAAGAGTAAAAAAGCTGATGTTTCGAGCGTTTGCCTTTCGTCAGAGTGATTGGAGGAATTGTGGGTTGTGTGTGGGTTTATATGCAGAAAGTGGAGCTACGCTATTGGTGAGAGTGGGATTGTAGTGTTTTTCTGTCGGTTAGGTTATACCGTAACAGAATGTGATTCTTTTTACCGTAGAATAGCAAAATTTTTGACATGAAAATTGTCTGAAAGAAATATCCTGATTGGTCGCCTATTAAGCGCAAATTTTACTCTTTTACTTTTCTATATGCATTTGAGTTTTAGTTGGTAAAACTTCTTACATCAGGTCATTTACCTATATTTTACGACTTTCGTGTTTAAACATGAAGAAATTTCAATTCGATGTTATGGAAGATCACGCTACTTTCACGCGTTATGCGTTCCATGTTCCCATCAAAAACTGTAATTATAATTTTTAATGCAATCAAATGAAAAAGATTAAAAAGATTATGAAAAGATTCCTCCACAGGAAAGAAGAATCATCAAAATGTGTCCCGCTCCTAAGATGTGGCTTTGTAGCTCAGTTGGTAATAGTGACCGAATCGTATCTTGGAGGCTCGAGATCAAATCCTTGAATTTTTCGCGGGCTTCTTTACTGCATTTGCTTAACAAGCAGCTCACCTGCGCTGATAATTGCTATACTTAAAAACTGTGATGTTATTTGTTTCTGCGTTCTCCGAACGGCCAAAAACGCTTCGAAGTCTTCTAGAGAATTGTCCGTGAACGTTTACGGTCCAACCTGTATTTCCAAGAAAACTAGCTAAAACTCAAGCTGTTTTAAATAAGACGAACGTGTGTAGTTAAGGACTTCGCGATAACGGTTGTTGCCTGCGCAGATAAACGAAATTGGTACAAGATGCATTCAGTTTACTATGGCAACAAAGACGTTTGCTTTCTGGAACTGAAACAAAAATTTGCGAAATCGTCGATTCATCGGTGAAAACATTCTTGTTCTTGAGGTTGTATGAATCAATGTCAATGTCAGCTACTCGGAATATCACAAGATATGTGCAGAGCTGCAAAAATTGAAGTAATTTGGCAACACCTGTTTTTCGATTTACAGTCTCAAGATCGCCTTTTCGACGGGCTGTAACCGGAAAGGAAGTTAAAGGAAATCCACCCTTTTTTAGAATAAAAAGAAAACCTTACCTCTCGGCTCAGCAATTTTTTTACATCTGGCTCCACACAACAAAGTCACTGCTCCATTTTATATAACTGCGCCTCTTTCCACTACGCATAAATATACATCCAACTTGTTCGTTCTGCGAGAAAAAGTAATGTTATATTGTGACGTCACAATAAAGTTTACAACTGAGGCGCGCGAGATGAATGAGTTGGTCCCAGACCGCCTGCTTTTTTTACAGAGGACGAAGAAATTTGGTCTGGTCTCGAGATTTACAAAACGCACATTATTGAGGGAACGTTTGGCGAAATACTCCGTCATGCACTAAACAGCATCACTCTTATACATGAACGTGAGAGGTAAGGCCAACTCTAGTCGAGTACGCAACTTTTTAATTGTACTCAACGAATTTACGAGAATTTTTAATTTAAATAAAGTTTCTGTCTGTTTTGTCACCAGTGCAGGTCGAAGTAAACATCTGAGCCAAACCTCAGACCTCCGAATTACAGGGATCCCTTTGGAGGGTTAGGCCATTATCAGCTCGTGTGCGATAAGCGATCTCTAGAACATAATGGAGCGAACTTTAGTCGTGTACATAGCTTATCTCACAAGAATTCTTCCAACACCTTTCCCCGCGCCAAATTGTTCAGAGGAGACTCTTTAAACACGAAGAAAATATCCACCATTGCTTGTATAAAATATTTCCGGGACACACAAAACGTGACGCCGCAACCATAGATTCGGAAAAGTTTGACCTCCACGGGTAAGTCTTACGATGATGTTTATATTTCAATGATTGACCTCTGGTTTGATAACATTTTTTATGAGCGTGGCTTAATTCTTTGAGCAAAACAGATGATAAAGGGACAAGAAAGCGCTCAATAAGCAAATCAAACAACAATAGACCTCTTTCAAGTCCGAGGTATGGGTTTTAGGGGTCTTACAAGTCTCCAACGAGAGATAACGTTTTGCCATTTGGTCTCAAGATCAGATCATATTTTTAGGCCAAAAGCCTTGGAAAGGTAATGAAGTTTGCAGTGCATGGTGTATGTCTTGAGGTTCTGGCATTACTTTTTAAACTCTGATTTGAAAAAAAATATGTCTCAATCAGGAGCCCTCTTGTCTCAATATGTTCTTGGTGGCAACTTGAGGTAGATATGCTACAATCTGAGAAAGATGCTCTTTTAAATTGGATCCCAAAATAAAAAGATTTTCTCTTACCAGGTTCAGGTTTAAACACCTTAAAGGCCACTCTTAAGTGCCCCCTTCCCCCCACCCCTCAGCTGAAATTGTAGCCTCATGAGAGGACAAAAAAAATTAATTTGAGGGACATGATTTCAAATGACACTAAGCCCTTGAAAAATATGAAAAAGGACATGGAAAATTAAGTGAAAATAAGTAATCATATTTTGACCTGAAGATGAAATACAAAGAAAAATTCCTTGCGGGTGAGCTGCAATTTAAGAAATTTCAGAAAAGACTCTTGAAACTGTTGAGGCTTTGATGGGATTTAAACTCACGCCTCCCAGATAGTTGATGGGTGCCACTACCAACTGAGCAATAAAGCAGCCTATTTTACTTGGTTCTTTGTTCCTGTAAAGAAATCAAATCACAATAGATTAAAAAGGTAATGTCTATTTTGATTTATCAGATTTTGATGAAAATTTGTCTAAATGGTAGTTACGCATTAAGTCACCAAACTTTGTGAGGTTTTTTCGTGTTGTTGTTGTCTTTTCAAAGCTGATGACTGGCATAGAAAACCTTTTAGTTATCTTCACAATCAATTACATGTGTTGTTTTTACCCCGTCCAATTATTTCATGTAGCGACTAAATCGATGCAAACGAACTTGTGTACTTTTTTGATTGAAACAATTTCAAAATATAAAAGCCATAAATTGGAGATTCCAGGACGGTGGGTAGAGTAATTGTATCCAGCTTCCAACAGCAAAACAAGCTAAACAGCTGTTGAATGTTGTTGATGTACAAAATTAATTGATTTCGATCGAGACAAAGCGACTTTGGAGTTAAGGAGAAAAAGGCATCGGTCGGGTGTCATTAAATTCGTGAAAGATTGCCAAATTGGAAAATTTTTTTTTACATTGCATATTACTGTTCCTTGTGTTAAGCCTTTGATTTGGAGTGAGACTGAAGGTGAAAACAAAGTAATTTTCATTTGAAAAGCAGCAAGGTTCGTATCATACCAAGGTCAACCTCAGCCTCATTCCTGTTCAAAAACTTGGCAACCAAGCACACAACTGTAAAATGGACTATTTAACAAAGAAGACATCAGGATACGTAGATTAAAAACTGAATTCTTCCATTCTTCAATAGGTAATCAAAACAAGATTCATCAAACTTCGAGAGAGGACGAGTGAGCTAGGTCACTCATGAAACTCCAAAAGGGTAATGTTGCCCTGATGAAAAAGTTTACTCGGAAAACCAAACGCTTGTAGTACCAATTATCCTTCACTCAGGGAGCTTCAAATCTCCCGAGTCTGCAAACAGAAATGCTGTCCAATTCATCTGACGCATTAGATAGGTTATGCTATGTTTATACTTATAGAAATGTCAGCATCTCATTTAACTATTGGGCAACTCTGACGAACAGTGTTTTTGCGTTTCTTCTCGCTCCCATGACAGCGACAGGGAATGCTTTCGTTTTGGCAGCAATTTGGAGAAACCCGGCGCTAAGGACTCCATCCCATGTGCTTCTTGCTGGATTGGCCTTAACAGATTTTTGCACAGGACTATTAAGTATGCCACTTCTAGCTGCGTATAAGTTAGCACATTTAAGGGAAAGCAGTATGACATGCACACTTGTTCTGATTTCATTTAGTGTCAGTATGTTTTTTGCCTGCTTGACGGTCGTTGTCATAGTGATGGCTGCTGCAGAAAGATGGCTATGCATGAGCAGGAGGTCTCTTCTTACAGTGCGCCGAGTTACCATTCTTTTTACCATAATGGTGTGCTTGATAACTGCTTTTGTAACTGTCCGCGTTATCAGTTTTCGGTATCTATCGAAGGACATAGACAATTTGCTGAATGGAGCTTTTTTGACGGCAGCGGCGATTTGTATTCTGGTTATGGCAGTTTCTTATTACAAGGTGTTTGGAATAATTCGTCACCATCAAAAAGGAGTTCAAGCAAATCAAAATTCCATTAATATTGCCAAGTACAAAAAATCTATATTCACCGTTCTCTATATACTTGCTCTTTTTGTGATCGGTTACATCCCCTATCTAGGTAGCGAGTTAACCTTTCACGTTTTGCAGGAATTCGGAGACATGTTCCTAACATGCTCCAATTTTACCTTGATTTTTGTTTATTTTTCCTCGCTATTAAATCCTTTGCTTTATTGCTGGAGAATTAAGGAGATAAAGATGGGTGTAAAAAATTTAGTAGAAAAATTACTTTGTAAACAAGCAGCAGAGAATGAGGAATAATAATAAAATTCGTAAACTCCCTTGACAAGTTTTGCGTAGCAGAATAGGTGAAAGAAAACTATCAAAAACGAATACTGATGGTGTAATTTACTTTTTAAGGACGCTTCCTAAGGAGACGGTTGTAGATTTTAGATTATTTCGACTTGCAGGAATGCTAAGGATACTAGCCGATTTTCTTGACTATTAACTACCCTGAAAACGTTTTTCTTCTCAGTTACAATGTTTATTCATGTTGATTTGCCTATCTATCGTTCTTGAAAGCTGACCCTTTAGCGTCCTTTTTGCGTCCCACGCGCGCATAAAAGGCAACCTTCTCGTCCTTTCTTCTGTTGTACTTAGTAATTCGAAGGATCCTGACCTCTGCTACATTTGTAACTTTTGAAACCATTGGCACAAATGGGACCGATATGAAAGTTTATTCATTTATTTTGCTTAGGTTTAGTTTTCTTTTATTTTGATTAGATAAAGGTAGTCGAAAATCTATTGTACTGTGTACCTTTTTAATTAGCGATAATCACGCTTAGCGTTTACGAGTAAACGCCCACCTATTAGTTTGAGAACGTTTGAGCTATTGACTGTTTGCGTGAATATATTGACGTTGTTTTTTTTTTGCCTTAAACGTTTTCATCGCGATTTGTAATTGACTCTGTTTTTGACTCACTGTTTATTTAGAAATGAAAGTTAACTAATGAAAGAGAGGTAACTGTACACCGCAAATAGCATAGCTAATCTAGGCGGTGTATAGTTTTTGTATTACACAACATAAAATAATAAATATGAGAAAACATATACACATGCATATCTGCTAGAAAATTAATACATAAAGAGAGGATAAGATCATTACACAGAGAAGAAAGAAATTAAAAAAGATCAATACTTAAAAAAAAGGCGAATGGTTAGATTTGTTTTTACACGCTTTTATCTTATATATAGGAAGATTTCGCCTCGATTAATAGGAATTTGTTGTATTATTACGGTCGTTTTTAGCCTTTTGCCTGTTTTAGCAACTTGTTCGTCTTAATATCTTGGTAGTTTTAGTATTCTGGTTTTCATCGACAGCAAATCTCTGTTAACCGTCACTTTGCTTCTCATGATTGCGACCCGAAAAATAGTCCCAAACACCTTCGTAGCAATACGCCCAAAGCGACGCCTCGCTTGAATTTTCTTTCAGTCGTCGCAAGCGTAACACGGAAGTTTACTTTAACAAATTTTGTTGTTAATTTTCTTTGTCAACCTGTATACCTAGCACTTTCTCCGTTGTAACTCGGCGCTTGCATGTTTACAAAAGTTGCAACATTGAAAAAAACAGCTTCAAAGTCTGATTACTGAACCATGGAAAAATTATTTCAAGGCACAAATATTTGCATAACGTTGGTGTGTTTAATAATCATTTGGTAATAATCGAACTGCACTGAGATATTTCGAACCTTTTATTGTACGTTACTTTTACTTCACCATCATATTGCCATTAAATTACCAGTGAGTTAGACATCTGTTAAATGATAAAAAGAGATAAATTGATGTTTTTTTAAATAGTGTTAACCCTACCACACCCTTGTGCTGACAGTGCAAGGTGCAGACAAGTCAACACTGCAACTGACTCTGTGCATGGTATCTTCATAATGACCCTGGATGATCTCGATGATCATTATCTACGAGATGCCATAATAATGATCTCAGGATTTTCCAGAGTAGTGCTGTCTACCATTTCACACACCCTCAAGATATCAATTTAACCGGCAAAGTTTATTACTAGTCTACTGACTGTTTTCTTATTATGCGGAGGGTTGCTAACTTGACCGTGCGAGATCTGCCTGCATCAGTCCGCAACTTTCCTGGCGATCTTGTGTAAAATATTTCCGGAAAACACAAAACGTGACGCCGCAACCATAGATACAACCACACAACTGAAAACACCTATCAACCAATGAGAGCGAGCGTACTATCTTTTGAATATTTAATAAAACTTTTATAAGAGGTTACATGTAAGCATACTCTTCCAATCACAAAAAGAAAAAGGAGAGTATAAATGGACAGCTGTATGTTATTTTTTCTTTATTGACACAACTTATATCGATTTAAATCGAGACAAAGCCAGATTGGAGTTTAGGAAAAAATGCCTCGCGTGGAGTTTTTATTGTCTTGAAACTTGGCCAAATTGGAAACTTCTTGTCACTTTGTTCATGAGTGTTCTTGCATGACAGCTCTTAAAATAGCCGTGACTAAGACAGACCACGTGACCTTACTAGTTATCAAACGGGAGCGCGGGAAAAAACGATCACTGTTCATGTAAGTGTGCACTGTTTACCCACATCATGTTACTTGTGATTTAGAGATCTGATTCAAAAATTTCCTCGGTAAATTTGTAATCGTCAACATCATGGCGAGCTTTCGAGGCTACTTTTACCCAAAGAAAGAGACTGGAACGAGGATGAAGACGACTCTGAAGTGGAAAGTGAAAGTGACGACAAATACTTAGAATGTAAAGACATCCTTAATACTACAAGTAGGTAATACCAGTTCTACCGCCCATCGAAGACCCCAGAAAAGCTGAAAGAACTGTATGGCCAGCTTCTGCCAAAGAGAGAAAAATTTGTGCGTGCCAGATTTGATCGAATGTTTACGTACCCTTGATGGATGGTTGAGATGATAGTGAATAAAAGATCTAATGGGCAGCAGAGCATTCCGTCCTACAGCATTCGATCTGACGACGGGGTCGATAAACTTTGATCTCGTTGTTTCTGACGCAGGCATGCTGAATCAGTAATCAACATGCCTTTGCGATTTTGGACTTGATCGAAAACAGAAATCTCACTGCGATGCTTGATAATCCGAGGAAAAACGTAGAGGAATTCGCGCGCAGCAGTAAAGTCAACGATGATATTGCCAACCAGATTCGGAAAAGTTTGATTTCCACGGGTAAGTCTTACGATGATTGTTGATACTTCAATGATTGACCTCTGATTGATGATATTTTTTTATTAGTGTGGCTTAATTCTTTAAGCAAAAAAAATGATAAAGCGACAATAAAGCGCTCAATAAGCAAATCAAACAACAATAGACCTCTTTCAAGTCCGTGGTATGGTTTTTAGGGGTCTCACAAGTCTCCAACGAAAAAATAACGTTTTGCCATTTGGTCTCAAGATCAGATCATATTTTTGGGCCGAAAGCCTTGGAAAGGTAATGAAGTTTGAAGTGCATGGTCTATGTCTTGAGGTTCTAACATCTTATTTTTTAAACTCTGATTTGAAAAAAAATATATGTCTTAATCAGGAGCCTTCTTGTCTCAATATGTTCTTGGTGGCAACTTGAGGTAGATATGCTACAATCTAAGAAAGATGCTCTTTTAAATTGGATCGCAAAATAAAAAGATTTCCTCTTTCCAGGTTCAGGTTTAAACACCTTAAAGGCCACTCTTTACTGCCCCTTCCCCCACCCCTCAGCTGAAATTGTAGCCTCATGAGAGGACAAAAGAAAATCAAT